TAGTTATCCTTGGGGACCCAGCCTACCCCCTAATGCCATGGCTCATGAAGCCATACACAGGCAGCCTGGACAGTAGTCAGGACCTGTTCTACTACAGGCTGAGCAAGTGCAGAATGGTGGTAGAATGTGCATTTGGATGTTTAAAAGGTCGCTGGCGCACTTTACTGACTCGCTCAGACCTCAGCCAAACAAATATTCCCATTGTTATTGCTGCTTGCTGTGTGCTCCACAATCTCTGTGAGAGTAAGGGGGAGACATTTATGGCGGGGTGGGAGGCTGAGGCAAATCGCCTGGCCGCTGATTACGCGCAGCCAGACACCAGGGCGATTAGAAGAGCACACCAGGAAGCGCTGCGCATCAGAGAAGCTTTGAAAACCAGTTTCATGACTGGCCAGGCTACCGTGTGAACGTTCTGTTTGTTTCTCCTTGATGAAAACCCACCCCCTTGATTGACTCATTCTCTGTAAGCAACCCACCCTCCCCCTTCGATCCCAGCTTGCTTTCAAAGGAAATAAAGTCACTATCATTTAAAAATCATGCATTCTTTATTAATTGATTATAAAAAGAGGGAGAGAACTGAGAAGGTAGCCCGGGTGGGGTTTGGGAGGAGGATAGGAGAGAAGGAAGAGGCCACTAAAAAGTTCAAAGTAATGACAGCCTTTTGGTTGGGCTGTCCACTGGGGTGGATTGGGAGGGTGCACGGAGCCTCCCCCTCCCCGCATTCTTACACGTCTGGGTGAGGAGGCTATGGAACATGGTGAGGGGGGAGGGAGGTTATACAGCAGCTGCAGCGGCACTCTGTGCTCCTGCTGCCGTTCCTGAAGCTCCACCAGACGCCGGAGCACGTCCATTTGATCACGCAGCAGCCCCAGCGTTGCAGCCTGCCACCTCTCATCTTGAGCGTCCCTCCTGTCCTCACGTTCACTGGCATCTTTCCTGTACTTAGATACCGTGTCCTTCCACTCATTCAGATGAGTTCTTTCATTGCGGGTGGATTCTCTGATTTCTGAGAACATTTCGTCTCGCGTCCTCTTTTTTCGACGCCTTATCTGAGATAGCCTTCGGGACGGAGGAGGGAGGCTTGAAAAATTTGCAGCTGTGGGAGGGAGGGAAAAAAGGGAGAGAAGTATTTAAAAAGATACATTTTACAGAACAATGCTTATACTCTTTCACGGTGAACAACACTATTCACATTACATAGCACATGTGATTTCGGTAGAAGGTCGCATTTTGCATCTTTTAATATTGAGTGCCTGCGGCTTTGGTGTTGGAGAGCACAGACGCAGGTCCGGGCAACAGAATTCAGCTTGCATGCGGCCATGGTAAGCCATTGTCTTTCGGCTTCTGCAGCTTTCCTACAAGTAGCACCCTCCTTTCCCACATACCAAGCAAAGCCCGTTGAGTGCTGCGGTTTTCCTGTTAACGTGCAGCAGCAGAAACCAAACTAACCCTCCCCCCCATCCAATTCTCTGGGATGATCGCTTTATCCCTCCCCCTCACCTTGTACCTGGTTTCAGGGAAGATCCCTGCAGAAACCAAACTAACCCATCCCCCCCCATCCAATTCTCTGGGATGATTGCTTTATCCCTCCCCCCTCCGTGTAGCTGGTATCAGGGAAGATTCCCCCCCCCATCCCCGCTTGGCTAACTGCAGGGAAGGATTTCTTTTCAGCCACAGGCAAACAGCCCAGTAGGAACGGCCACCTCTGTCATTTCAACCAGGTTACCATGAACGATATCACTTTCCTGAGGATAACACAGCGAGATAAAGAACGGATGTTGCTTGAATGCCAGCAAACACCGGGACCATACGCTGCCAGACTTTGTCATGCAATGATACCAGATTACTTGCTACTAGCATGGCGTGGTCAAGTGTCCTACCATGGAGGACGGAATAAGGCTGCATTGCCCAGAAACCTTCTGCAAAGGCTTTTGGAGTACCTCCAGGAGAGTTTCAAGGAGATGTCCCTGGATGATTTCTGCTCCATCCCCAGACACGTTAACAGACTTTTCCAGTAGCTGTACTGGCCGCGAATGCATCCCAAGTCCTCAGGGCAAATTAATCATTAAAAAACGCTTGCTTTTAAACCATGTTTTATATTTACAAAGGTACACTCACCGGAGGTCCCTTGCATGGCCTCATTGTCTGGGGGTTGGGAGGGTGCTTCAGTCAGGCTGAGAAAAAGATCCTGGCTGTTGGGGAGAACGGAGTGCTGTGTGCTCTCCGCAAGCTCATCGTCGTCCTCCTCCTCCTCTTCCCCATCCGCAGAATCCTTAGGCATGGCTGAGATTACCCCCGCCTCGGAATCCACGGTCAGAGGTGGGGAAGTGGTGGTGGCCCCCCCTAGAATTGCATGCAGCTCAGCGTAGAAGCGGCATGTCTGTGGCTCTGACCCGGAGTGACCGTTTGCCTCCTTTGTTTTTTGATAGGCTTGTCTGAGCTCCTTAACTTTCATGCGGCACTATAGTGAGTCCCTATTGTGGCCTCTCTCCATCACGCCCTTGGAGATTTTTTTCAAATGTTTTGGCATTTCGTCTTTTGGAACGTAGTTCTGCTAGCACTGAATCCTCTCCCCATATAGCGATCAGATCCAGTACCTCCCGTATGGTCCATGCTGGTGCTCTTTTTCGATTCTCAGACTGCATGGTTACCTATGCTGATGAGCTCTGCATGGTCACCTGTGCTCTGCACGCTGGGCAAACAGGAAATGTAATTCAAAAGTTCGCGGGGCTTTTCCTGTCTACCTGGCCAGTGCATCCGAGTTCAGATTGCTGTCCACAGAGGTCACAATGGTGCACTGTGGGATAGCTCCCGGAGGCCAATACTGTCGAATTGCGGCCACACTACCCTAATCTGAAATGGCAATACCAATTTCAGTGCTACTCTCCTCGTCGGGGAGGAGTACAGATATCGATATTAAGAGCCCTTTATATCGAAGTAAAGGGCTTCGTTGTGTGGACGGGTGCAGGGTTAATTCGGTTTAACGCTGCTAAATTCGAGATAAACTCCTAATGTAGACCAGGCCCTAGAATCCTGTGTGCATAGGGTGATCTGGAGCCCAACTGCTGTGTGGATCTAGTTCAGGGGTAGGCAACCTATGGCACACGTGCCGAAGGCGGCACGCAAGCTGATTTTCAGTGGCACTCACACTGCCCGGGTCCTGCCACCAGTCCGGGGGGCTCTGCATTTTAATTTAATTTTAAATGAAGCTTCTTAAACATTTTTAAAACCTTATTTACTTTACATACAACAATAGTTTAGTTATATATTATAGACTTATAGAAAGAGACCTTCTAAAAACGTTACAATGTATTACTGGCATGCGAAACCTTAAATTAGAGTGAATAAATGAAGACTCGGCACATCACTTCTGAAAGGTTGCCGACTCCTGATCTAGTTTATTACTTCTGGATAATTGGGTTTTCTCGCTATTTGGCTTTTGATTTGACTTTTGGATTTTGATCGCATTTTATTTTTGTCAGGCTTTACCAGCTTTTTTTTAAACTGTAAATATGATACTAAGGGCTAAATTGTGCCTTTAGGCACAGCCTAAAGCCAGCACGTTTATGTGAATAGCATCACCCAGGAGTAGCCCTGGGGGAGGCACTGAGATTCTGAGGTACAATTTCTTCCCTGTTTCTTATGAGGGGAAGTACTTGACTGTTTCCCTTCCCATGCCAACTCCCTTATACTTGGCCAGATATTCTAGGGTGTGTGCGAGAGGAGGAGGGGCCTAGCCCACTTGCTTATATCAAAGAGTATACAGAGAGCAGGGTCTGTACTCCACACCAGACCTGGACCCACAGTCCAGGCGGAACTTATTCACTGCCGCAAAGGGGTGAGGTGTCATAACTCCCCACCTCAATCAAGTAAGACATGGGCGCTGTCATGTTGTTGCATCTGTGAATATACTTCGAAGTTATTTATTTTTTTAAATCCACGATGGAGAATACAATCCTTTTTGATGTTGTGCTTAACGAAATGTTACTTGCTTCAAAATGTGCATCTGACATATCAACTTTGCAGGGCTTGAAAATTTAACAAACACAGTATTAGCTGGAGGATTACCTGATAGCTAAAGGTAGAGGCTTAAGACCATGAGGGGCAGAGGGCTATTAGGTAGGTCCAGGGACAACCCACTGGTGAGAACCTGTACTCCCTTGATAACAGCAGGTACTAGGAAGGGGGAGGATGCATAGGTTTCTAACTCTGTTGTCTGTGGACCCTTTTGGGGGCTCCATCTCACATATTTCTAGCTAGTAGGTACCCTGTAAATTGGAAGCCCACCCCTTCTAGCTGCTAGATGTCTTTCTTTTCTTCCCTCCACTTTGCCAGAGTTGCATCTGTGAGGTTAGAGTCTTTACTCTTGGCTGAAGTGGAGAGGGATCTGAGAATAGGAAAAAGGTCTCTCCTACTCTCTCTCTCTCTCTTTCCCATTCTCCATTTTTGGATCTCATCCTTTGTGAATAACTTCATTACCTGCTTTTGATGCTTTCCCAAACATTTCCTGTCCACTGGGTCCTGAATAGCTTTAATTACATTGACCAGATATATGTTAATTTCATCTTGATGTTTGGCAAAGATAGAAGCGGCAATACAAGCACTGGTGTTGTCTGTCTTGCAGACTCAGGAAATCTGAAATGCATCAGTTCAAGTTTGAAGGGATATTATCACAGCTGTAAAGGCTAGAAACTTTAATTAAAAAAAATTAAATTATCCAGAAATTGATGAATTAGGCAACACTGCTCTCCAGGACAGTCTTTCCCATTGTTTCTTATGAGTGAACAAGTGGATTTTTCAAGTTCTGTATTTGGCATTCCATTAACAAAAATCACATGCTTTGGTCTTTGTGTATTTGAGTCAGCCCACAACTCCATAATTTTCATGAAACATCCTTGTTAAACACATTCCCTTTCCCTGCTGCATAAAAGTTTAATAACATGGAGCGCGCCTGATTTTTTTCAATGGTATGATTAACTGTAGTTTAATATCTCTTTCAGTGATAGCCAGTTTTCGAGGAACAGTCCCACATGGCTTATCATTGGAGATTGGAGACACAGTTCAAATACTAGAAAAATGTGATGGTAAGTACACAGGTTAAAACTCTCGTTTTAATGAATTGTTACTGTGCTGATGTGAATTTGAGTCCCATCACTCTTCGTTTAATTTTAAAATGTAAATGAAGCAAAAATGAACATCTATGCTTGCATGTGTTTAGGCTTGAAAGGATTAGATTTTTTTGGTAAATGTCAGTAAATATTGATTTAACTGTGCACAAAGAAACCTATGAAAAAGTATTTCCATTTATAAGAATTGGTAACATAATCCCAACTATACATACAAAATGATGAGGTCTATATTAGCTGTTACCACTCAAGAAAGAGATCTTGGCATCATTGTGGATAGTTCTCTGAAAACATCTGCTCAAAGGGTAGCGGTAGTGAAAAAAGCAAACAGAATGTTAGGAGCCATTAAGAGAGGGATAGATAAGGCAGAAAATATCATAATGACACTATATAAATCCATGGTATGCCCACACCTTGAAGACTTTGTGCAGTTCTGGTCACCCCATCTCAAAAAAACATATTAAAATTGGAAACAGTACAGAGAAGGGCAACAAAAATGATGAAGGGTCTGGAACAGCTTCCCTATGAGGAAAGATTAAAAAGACTGGGACTTTTCAGCTTGGAAAAGAGATGACTAAGAGGGTATGATAGAGGCAGGGCCGTCCCTAGATCAAATGGTGCCCCAGACGAGGAGAGTCTTCGGTGCCCCCGCTCCATTTGTTAAACTTTTTGAATACCTCATAGCACTCTGAGTCCGGCGCATCCCAAGTCCCCTAAGCCCAGCACCCCAGGGGGTTGCCTGGGTCCAGTCACCTGCCCCTAAGTCAGGCGCTGGATAGAGGTGTATAAAATCATGACTGGTGTGGAGAAAGTGAATTAAGAAGAATTTACTCCTTCACACAGCACAAGAACCAGGGGTCACCCAATGAAATGAATAGGCAGCAGGTTTAAAGCAAACAAAAGGAAGTACTACTTCACACAACTCGCAGTCAGCCTGTGGAACTTGACAGGGTGTGTTGTGAAGGCCCAAACTATAACAAGATTCAAAAAAGAACTATATAAGTTCATGAAGGATAGGTCCATCAATCGCTGTTAGTCAAGATGATCAGGGGTGCAACTACATGCTCTGGGTGTCCTTAGCCTCTGATGGCCAGAAGCTGGGAGTGGATGACTAGATGAATCACTTGATAATTGCCTGGTCTGTTCATTCCTTCTGGGGCACCTGGCATTGGCCACTGTTGGAAGACAGGATACTGGGCTAGATGGACAATTGGTCTGACCCAGTATGACCATTCTTATGAAATTTGCAGATAGACAAAGTAGGAAAAATGGTACTTGAGAACTTCTTAGAATTTTATTTTAAGAATATTTACTTTGTATATATTGACATGTAATGTTGACAACTTGTGTTTTAACAGTGATAAAGCTTTAACTTTTTGAATCTGTGTCTGCTGTCATTAAATAAAAATTCTGACCACCATAAAAGTTCCCACAACTGTGAAAATTAAAATCACTAAAAATAAAAGAATGCTTAAAACCCATAATTTTTGCGCAACTGTGAAAATTTAAATTAACTATCTAAAAATAAGCTTACAAATAAATATTGATATTATCCATCAAAATTATAATAAACAAAAATTAAATTCTGCCAAGCCTTCATGTTTCTGTATGTCAAAGCAATTCTAATGACTAGGTTTGATCTTTGTAACTGTATTCCTTTTTGTTTCTTCTCCCTGTTTAATTAATATCCAGGGAGAAAAATAATTGTTAAACAGCAGGGAGGTCTCATTGTGACTTTTCTTTTTGCTCTCATGGTTTTTCCCAGGGAAGCTTGACTTTCAGCAGGAGGCTTTCAAACTTCATGCCAAATCGCAAGTTTAAATCCTAGAGCAGTGTTAAAGATCCCTGACCTACTTCTGTTTTGATATAGAGACTCCTGGAATAAAAATATTTTTAGACTTGATTTTAATGTATGTACAGAACTAGAATAAAGGAAATAAAACTGCGTTTCTTTCATAGAATTTCCTTAAAATCCTACCTAAAGTCAGTTTTTCAAAACTATATTTTTGTTGTTTAAGATAACATACATTTATTAGCATAGATGTGGGGGTGTTAAACTGCTCATCTAGTTAGTCGTGAGTGATTAATCTTTGTCATAAAATGCATTAAATCTACTTTAGTTATTTTGAATTTCGTTCATTAGGATTTTTAGCATAATAATGTAGCTAATAGCCCTAGCCTGGTCAGCATAATCACAGTTCATAATAGCAGTTAATGGTACTGTCTACCTTTAATATTCGATATGTTGCTTGATACAAAAAAATTAAGGTGCATTGTTGGGGTCATATTTGGAGGATATAGCAGAAAATATCTATGAAGTAATTTCAGTTGATACTTTAGTGAGTTAAAAAATTACTTTTAAATGCACAGAATGTACTCAAAATGACTGTAGTCTATTACACTGTGGTACGTAATAGAATCATGTCAGTCCAAAAGAAAAATATAAAACAAGTTTTTGAAAATGGCAATGGTTTACATATTTAAAAAAACAAAAATGTTATTTCTCCACAGGCTGGTACAGAGGATTTGCCTTAAAAAACCCAAATATCAAGGTAAAAACACAGATGTTTCTAACTATAGTTTGAATTCTTTGACAAAAATGTGAATTCAGTCAAACATGTTCATAGCTGAGTGTAAGAATATGATATTTACCATTATGGGAATGCCACAGTTTAAGATACTATGGCATTTGGTGTTATGTATTTTAAAATCAACGTTGACAGAAGTATCCTTTATCATGGATTATATTTTTTTTAAATGCTCTCATGTTAATACTGTGAGCCCTTTGGATGTCGAGACCTCTTGGCAAAATTAGCTTTTGTTTAGGCAACATAAGTTAGGGTAGGGGGCTTAAGGGAGAGCTAAATGAAAGTATAGAGAGTTAGCTACCATGAATGCATGGTGAAAATAGTGTTGATCAGATTCTTTGACTTTAATGTACAGACTCGGTGTAGCCTCAGAGCCCAATTAGATATCTATTGTACCTCTTGCAAATGCACATTACATGCATATGACACTTCTTGATGCTAGTGAAACTCATAATGCTAGAGTGAGACCTCTTACTCTTTCTGACTTTTATACTTTTTTGCATGAAAATAGGTTCAGAATTAGATTTTGGTGATGTTGGGTTCTCATTTTTGTATCTTAATCTGTTTTGTAAGACATTCCAATTACCCTTGCATGGCCTTGGAGTTGCTCTACAGCCTAAAGTGAATATTGATTGCATTTGATCATCATGTGCTTACGGTCAATGTAAGTTTGTACCCTGCCAGATGTGTCAAAAAAAGTTATGAATGGGACGTCCTAAACATGACTCAAGCTCTGTGGGGAAATGAGCTAGCCATTTGTGCAGTGTTGTCACCTTTTGTGAATGAAGGTGAGTTTCTGAACTCGACCTTGAAAACAAGTCTTCCTGAGGGCAGCATGGCCTGCTAGTGCTCCTCTGCCAGACCTCTTCACTAGCTACTCTACTATCTGTCTCATAGCAAAATGGGGCACCATCAACTGTTCTTAAACCACACCGGATTTTATTTTTAAATTTTCCATCTGAACATTTTTTTAAAACTAGCAACTTTGTCCTTTTTGGAAAATTCATCAGGGCTTTCTCTTGCAGTTGTTTCTTTAGGTCAACTTGCCTGCTTTTATTTACTGCCCTGCTTGTGAATCACAGTGCTCTGTAAGGAGTGTTGGTGGTGGTTAATCGCTGCTGCTTTGCTACCAGAGAATATAAAAGAATAGTGTATTCTTGAGTAGATCCCAAATAAACAGTGGCGTCGTTAAAAACATTGTGTTTTGAAAATCCATTCCAGATGTCAATTTGAAGATGCCATAGATAAACGTTGGCCACAGACTATTTGACATCATCCCCTTAAAATAGGACTTAGTAAAAATGGTAACTATCAAAGAGCTATGCTGCAATGTTCTATACATTCTGCACACATTTTTAGTTTCATATTTGAAGTTTCAATCATTTAAATCTATATTATATATACTAAATAGTCACAGTGGGATTTTTTTTGTCATAAATAGTGTCACTGATAAAAAGAATCCGCTATACACTGTGCAAGGTTTTCTCTGAAATGGTTAGTCTAAATCAAGATTCTCTCCTAACAGTAGGCAGCTTGTTAAAACTTTGTGCATTTATTAAACTATTTTCTCTTTCAGGGTATATTTCCATCCAACTATATCCACTTGAAAAATGCATGTGTTAAGAACAAAGGGTAGGTGGTGATTTTGTATTCAGCTATTTAAGGAGGCTGGGGAGAAGGATCTGAAGTTGTGCAGATTGTTGTAACAAGGCTGCATTTCAGGCAGGATAAAGATATAATTTTCACTGGTGTTTAACACTGTAAAACTTCAGCTCACTGCCCCAAAGGATTTAAATGAATATCCTTAACCAGCATGGCACTTTCATTCAGGCATAAGGTAGGAAGTCACTTATTCTAAAAATACATGGAGCAGAAATGGGGAAATGATTTCTGTGTTGTCTAGCATATGCAGAGACCAATTACTTGTTTTTAACTACTGGTGTTAATCAGACTGAGTTTAATAGGCTGGCTCTCTTATTTAAACACAACTCCCTACAGGGTTCTGCATAGAATAGTCTATTAGCCATTGCTGAACATTGCTCATTTTATTTAGGGTGACAGCTGCTTCATGGCAGAACTAGGTTGCCATTATTTGAAACAATCTCCTGGCATTCACACACAACTTTGCAAGGGACATTTTCAAGTCAGTGTATGCTTTATAAAAAGATGTTACAAATCTAAAATTAATAGAATTGTTTTCATGTTTTTGTTTCTGAATTACAATGAAACATTTTTTGGTTTAGTTTTGGATGTCTGCTAGTCTGTTTTCATTATCGAAAGCAGAGTTAGTAAAAACCAATAGGTTAGAAATTCTTTCAATTAAAAAAAAAAAAACTAACGTGAGTAAAAGAGAGAGTGACATTTTGTTTTTTAAGGTGTAACTTTTAACTTGACAACATCCCATTTAAAATATCTTGTTTATCAGTGGTGGTTATGCCAGCACAGTTTTTTTCTTCGGTGTTTGCACAATTCCTGAACATTTATTTCCTAGAATTGGCCTTCTTTTGCTACATGCATTAAGAGAGGAATTATTGATTGACATTAGCAAAAATAATTTGGAATTACTCATCATGGAAGAGTTCTTGTTTTCAGGGTCCTTTTGAACTGACAGGACCTGGATAGCAGGTACTACACAAATGCTTGAAGGTTTAAAACTACATTTCCCTTATGGGAGGTGAGAATAAGGAAGTAAGTAGAAGGTCAAAGCTCCATGACTGGCAAAGAAAATCTTTCTGTTTGGCATTCTCTAACAACTGGAAACCTGGTCAGGACAAGTGCAATTGAATTCCTTATTGCCAGCTGAATAAGCCACTGTCTGTACATTTCTAAATTACTATGCTGTCTCTGCCCAGCCAGTTAAGCCATTCAGTAGGGCTGGTTGAAAATTTTCCACTGAAATTGTTTGTGGACAGAAAATAGGGTGTTTGACAAAATAAAACTCTTTGTTGAAAGTGCACAAAAATGGCTTTGTGTGGAAAATTTCAGCTGCTTCATGCCCCAATTTTCCTTTATGGGCTCTGTTCTGTAGCCAAATTACCTCTCCCATGATGCTCTGTGGCCAGGGAATCACATGGTGCTCCACAACAACTCAACAAAAGGGGAGACTGTGGTGTATCATGGGAGATGTAGTTCAGCCAAGAAGCCAGGCCATAGTTAAATATTTATTGCAAACAGCCTCCTCCTCTTCCAGATTGGACCTGATCCTCCACTGTGTGTGCTGTTTTTACATCTGTGTAACTCTGAACGAATGGAGCTGCACTAGTGTAAAATCAGTGCAACACAGTGGAAGATTTTGCCCACAGACTTTGACTTGCACATTTTCCTAGCCGATGCAAAAACGTCACAACCCCTGTTTCCATACTGAACAACCTTGCTAGCTTTCTTTCTTGAGTCCTTGCTTCCATTCTATCCCCTCTTTTTATAGGAATTGCATTTCTGAAGTCATTTACATAAACAGAAGTAAAAAAAAAAATGGGGAGCATGTTCACTTGTTTAGTCACTAAATTGTAGTAGCACCAACAAACTTTCCTTTTAGTTGAAGAGATTTATACAAATGTGCTTGAAATAATTGTATTGATATAAAGCTATGGGTGAAATCCTGCCCCCTTTGAAGACAATGGCAAAACTCCCATGACTTCAATGGGACCAGCACTTCTCCCTCCTTTATTTTTACTTGAAGAAAAAAAAAAAAAGTCCCATGGAGGTTAATAAATACCAACATTTGTAAGAGAGAGGTTTTATGTTAGCAACAACAGTGTGGTTTATATTATATTATTTGTATAATGCCATATATTCTTCTGGATGCCACAGGCAGTTTGAAATGGTTATTCCAACAGAAGACTCCGTTATCACAGAGATGACATCAACTTTAAGAGACTGGGGGACCATGTGGAAACAACTTTATGTGGTAAATACTATATAATATTGCCTCGCTTGAATGCAGTTTAAAATAGTTTCTGTCACCTTACAAATAATAAAATAAAGTGGTTTGTATTTAAGAAAAAAACAAAAGGAAAAAAGTATTCTTCCAAAGATCATATTGTCCCTGTCCCCTCCGCGCCCCTCGCAGGATTTATTTAAACCTCTTTTTTTCCCCATTTTTTTTTTTTAATCCAATATTATGGTTTTTTGCCAGAGACTAACTAGGACATCTGTTCACTGTGTAATTGATAGTAACACAGAAGAATAAATGGGAATGGCTTAGTTTGTTATCAAAGTCTAGATTTAAAAATGGTACGATTTGGGAGCTGTGACTTCAGAAATCTGAATGACAATATTAGCATGGCTATTAAAAGACAAAGACCAAAAAGAGAGCAAGAAGAAGATCAAATGGTTCTTTTTCAAATATAAACAATCAGAAGCCACAAGCAATAGACTAAAGGAAATAATGTAGAACGTAGTAACAAGCAGAAGGTAACATGAAAGAACTGCAGTTTCAGTCCATAATATTAATCAAACAAGAAAGTAAAGTGCCACCGTTAGTTGCAGCTATTTTAGGGGGGGAAAGAGTGAAAAAGACTTTTCCAAAATCTGACACCTTTATAATAGCTGTGGCTTTGATTTGACTTAGATTTTTGGAATGGGAGGTTAAATTTTGCACAGATTGTTTTAAAAGAAATTTTTTTTGATGGACAAAAAGTCAAGCCTGACCTTGAACCTCTTTTGAAAGAAATGCTGAACAGCCAGTGGAAGGAAAACAGCTTGATACTTAGGTAAAAAGCATGATAAAATGTGTTGCACAAAGTAAAAGCGTGATTGCCGAGCTGAAACAATGACCTGCTGCCAGACAGAAGAGAGATTTAACAATACAAGTACTGAAGTTGTCAGTTACATAATAATTATGGCATATACGTTAGTTTTAAAAATATTGGCAGGATGGGAGAGAACAGCTTTTATTTTGGCTTGCTGTACCTTTTCCTTTATTCTTTCTTAGCAAGGACAATTTTTTTGTTGCTTGAGTCAATTTGTCTTGTTTAATCTTAAAACCCTGCAAATTCAGCATTGGTCAGTCTGTGATCTGAGAGCCCTACTATCCTGTTTGCAAGGGTTGCAAAGAAACCAACCCCTGTAAATTAACTTGGAGGTCTGATTATAGATTATGTCCAGCCTCCAAAGAGGGCATCCATTCTCACTTACCTCAGCACCTCCTGAGTAGAGCCCAAATTCACCAAAGCATTGACTTAAGGCCATCCCTATTCAGCATCACACCTAAACATCTGCTTAAGTCCCATTAAAATCAATGGTGCTTAAGTTAACTTGCTTAAAGCTAAGTATGTGTATAAGGGTACGTCTACACTACGAGATTAATTCGAATTTAGATAATTCGAATTTGGGAAACAGATTGTATAAATTCGATTGTGCGCGGCCACACTAAGCACACTAATTCGGTTTTTAACCACATTAATTCGGTGGTGTGCGGCCACACTACCCCATTAATTTTAACCACATTAATTCGGTGGTGTGCGGCCACACTACCCCTAATTCGAATTTACAAAATCGATTTTGGTGCTACTCCGCTCGTCGGGGTGGAGTACAGAAATCGATTTTAAGCGCCCTTTAATTCGAAGTAACTGGCTCCGTTGTGTGGACGGGTTAAGGATTAATTCGGATTAACGCAGCTAAATCCGAATTAAAGTCATAGTGTAGACCAGGCCTGAGAGTTTCACTAAATAGGGATAAATGTGCTTCTGATGTGAGGTCTAATTCAGGAGGATTGTAAAAGGTGAAATCACAGCACTACTTGTGGAAAGGAGGCTGATTAAAAGGTTAGTTCCCATGGATTCACAAAAACTTGTAATTGTGACCACCCTCCATCTGTTTCTATAAAATCTATTGAATCTTTACTACTGAAAGTTTGGAGAGAAAAAAATCTGAAAAGGACTTTTAAAGTTATAGTGTTTCAAGGATTTGGTTCATACTTCCAAAATGCCTTGTCCTACAAACTCCAAATTCGCTTTGTTGAGCAAAAGTACCATTTTAATACTTTGATGATTGGGTGGCAGGGGATTAGTGGGAGCTATTCAAAGTTGTATATGATTTAAAGAGCTTGTGATAGGATGTACATACCCAAGGCTAAAGTAGGCAGGGTTTAGGTTTGCTAGGGGGTTGTTAGAGCTAGGGCATAAAAAAGAGGCTAAGGGAGAGCTCCTAAAGGGAAGAGGAAGTGTACTCTGTCCCTGGTCCAGGGAGGAAACACTATCATGTCCCAGACCAGGAAGCAAGGAGAATTTGGGAAACTGACTGTCATGTTTAAGCAGAAGGAATATATTGCTTGCTGGGGATGGTGTAAGATAGGGACTGTTTCAGGGGTGGCCAAACTGTGGCTTGTGAGCCACATGTGGCTCTTTTACCGTTAAAGTGTAGCTTGCGGAGCCCCCCAAAACCCATTCCCCACCTACCAGACAGGGAGGTGGAGGGGCTTGGGACCATTGCCTTGCAGTGGAGTAGTGGTGTCTGCCCAGTGGGGAGGGGGATCTCGGGGCTTCAGCAGGAGCGGGGCTGAAGCCCCAACCCCTGTCAGGCACCTCCCACAGGGCTGAAGCCATGAGCCCTGGCAGGTGTGCCCCAGCTCTTGAACTTTTGAAAATTGTCGTACATGGTTCAGAGGGTCAGTAAGTTTGGCCACCCCTGGACTATTTGGTTTTTCCCTTATTTGAAGCAAACTATCTTTTGTTGCTATTTCTGCACCAAGCTGAAGAAGGCTTCAGTCCTGACACTGCATGTATTGGGCCAGGCCAAGGAATTGCTCTGGGCAGGGATGCCTGTGACATAGTGGCCATGAACAAAACATTGTTTCTTTTTTCCTTGTTTTATTTCTCTTTCCTGATACCTGCAGCTATGGCCCAGCCATGTTCGTAATGTTTTTAAATCTATAAACAGTAATGTTTTATAAACATTAAGAAAATTGACTGATCTGCTGCTGATTCCATTGTTGGTCAGAGCTCAGGAGCATGTTTTGGGGGTTTGAAACCAGGGAGAGGGCCCAGCAAGAAGCCCAGAAAAGGGGACGGGGGAGTGGAAGAGACATGGACCCATTCTTCCCTGACTACAAATGTGGGGATTCTGGGGAGGTGGGCAGGACTTACGGAGCATGGAGAGGGGGAACTATAGGGCATAGCGGATGGGCATTGGGAGAGGCAGGGAACACAAGGGCATAGAGACAGAGGACCATAGATAGATGCAGCCTTTTTATCCAAATTAAAAGGTTTGTAGATACACAAAACTGATAAAAGCCCTCCACTTTGATCATCCCCTCCATTCCCTCCACCATTCTTAATCCTATACCCTACCCAGTTTGAATTTTCTTTTCTTCCCTCCCATCACCTCTTATGAACGCAATAAATCAGTAGAAGAAGAATGCCACTTTAGGCCTTATTGATCTGTCAGACCAGGGCTCTGCACCTGCAGACACTACACACAAACTCCATTTAAATTTCAGGACCTCGTTTTTTAAAAAAGGAAAATCGCCCCCAAAGTTTGTTAGAAAGAGATAAGGCAGAAAGTGTTTCACTGGCATTTAGCTAGCATCTCCCCAGAATTACATTTTCTTTGCGACAGTTCCACAGCTTTATAAAACTCAAATGTTGAATCTGGAAATGACCGATTAAGGGCTCCAGCCAGTTCTCCATCATTGACTATTGCCAGGTCTAATTTACATAACCCACCCAACATTAATTATGCCCCCTATAATTAGCTAAAATATAAGCAATGGTCAAAATAACAAATTACTAGTACATCATGAAATCCAATTTCCTATCTAAAGGATACACTTCTAACATGCCTTACTATTAACATGTTCATATGTGGTATTCCAGTAAACTATGTTATAATGTTGACGGCAAAAAAGAACTATATGAGTTAGTTACTACATAATATAGTTATAAATATGAACTTGAAGGGTCTTGCATACACTTAAACATCATATAATCCACAGACTTTATAGCACTAAACAAATGTAATCATGCTATTTCTGCACCCACACATCAGTGAGAGAATTTATACAACTGAGCGATCTGAATGTTTCCTGGAACTATGTTCCTTTCACAAGCTTTGCATGCTAAACTTATATATAAATTCAACAATGTATGTCTAACAGCGTATTTTCAATGCAGAACAAAATAAGGAGCAAACTTAAGATACGTTGGGTCATATTGAGTCATAGAATATTAGGGGAATTGACTGGATCCCTTAGTTGTTCATTTCTAGACTTAACTTTTACATTTTATTTTTACTAAGGGACCTTATTTCCAAACAGTGCTGAGTATCTGCCCATTGAAACCCAGATCCCTTTAAGATATCTCCAGCTGGACACTTAAAAATGGAGATGTGCAAAATCACTAGTGATTTTTTAGAAAGTTTAGACCAGAAATTTTGAGGGGACAAAATTGTTTCTGTAGACATCTTCTACACACGTTGCATGGCTTTTCAGTGTTTTTAAAGAACCGGTTTCATTGTGGTTAGCACAGACCAGATATGAAGAGAGAGGGCCTTATCTATCTATCTATCTATATGAAGTTAATGGAAAGACTGCTCTTGACTTAAGTGTTTTGAGTCAGATCTGTAGTGTTGTCATTAGATAGAGTGGTGCTGCTGAGGTGGCTTGCATCTCTCGATCTGTGAATCCTCACCACTCCAACACTTTGAGCAGAGGCATGTTGGAAGTGCATTTCGTTTTCAGTATATTTGAACCCACAGGCAGGCCTATATTCAGGGGTGAAAGTAACTTAAAGGACTTACCGGTATGCTGGAGTCCTGAGCGGGGGCGTGGCCTCAACCGGAAGAGGCGGGGCCTTTCAAGATTTAAAGGCCCTGGGGCTCCGGCTGTGGCTGGGAGCCCCAGGTCCTTTAAATCACCCCGGAGCTACCAGCTGCAGAGGCGGCTGGGAGACCCGGGGTTCCGGGGTGAAT